AGATCTCATTAGATCACTTGTTCCCATAAAATCTATGGAAGTGTGAGCCCAGCTTGCTGTGGTGTGGCTGGTGTTCCCCCCCTCACCTGGACCCAACCCCGGCCCAGACTGGCCTCAGGATGGGAACTGAAGGCTCATCCAGCTTCTCATCCTCTGTGCCCACACAGGCCAGACTTGTGGAGCTGCAGAGCAGAGGCTGACTTGGCATCACCTCTCTGGGTTTAATTACAGCAGTGATTAGGAATTCACAGCCTGTGGTGTCCCAAGAGCTCCCTGGCCAGGTTGGAGAAGGTCAGAGGTACCTGAGCTGCATTTAATGGCAGTGGTTCCTTCCAGGGTTGATGTCCCCCTGTGTGCCTGCATGGAGCTTGGGAAAAAGGAAAAATAATGATTGTACTCTGCAAGCAATACACAACATCCCCAAAATGCCTCTGCCTGCACAGTTGTGGCAGCCTCTGTGCATATGTTTTCATAAAGATGTTAATTATTGCAGCAGCTTTCATTTAAATTAACAAATGGTTTCCAGTGATGCAGTCTGACTAGCAGGTTCATGTGTCCCTGGGAATGCTGATGCTCCCTTTCCCCTCTGTAAATGCAGACTCTCTTATAGAGACATAGTCATGATTTGAATCTATCTCAAAACCCCCTAAACCCTCTGTACAGGGCACTGAGCACAGTTTTCTTCTTCAGGGGGTGGTGAGGGAGAATGATCCACATTTTGCTGGGTGCTTCCTTCTGCAAATCTTCTGTCACCAACCCCATTTCGGGAAAACAACTATAAATCTCAGGGTCTGGGGTCTGCAGAGCTGAGTGTGAGAAAAGAGTTTGAAAAACTCGTACTGTTTCACTGGAGTGAGATCTCTCTAAATCTGCCTCTCTGGATTGAGATGTTTCAGCTCCTGTAAATTCTGTTTCCTCAGTGGAATGAGTGAGCAGCCAGTGCTGTAGCCAAGGACACAGATCCAGGGCACTGCCGGGATATTCCAGCTTGCTCTGAGAGAAGGGTCTGCGGGCTCTGAGCCAGCACGTGTCACTGGCTGCCCTTTGCAGTTCCCCACTGCAAATGGTTAATTCTCTCAGACATGCTGAAAAGCTGCTTATTTGGGTTCGGTTTTAGTGCTATAAAGTCTAATGTAAATAGCCTTTTTGGGGGCTTGAATACAGGGATGGTAATGGGACACTTTGCCCACTTTCCAAGACAAAATGAATCACCCTCCTCTTCCCCACCCTGCTGTGAATGAAGGGGGGGCAGGAGGATATGGGTGTCCCAAAAGGAGTTGTTCTTCCCAAGCAGGCACTGATGGAATGGTAGGAAGGATGTGATTGCATGGCTGCACAGGACTAGTAAAATTTTAATTGCATTATGCATACACCAGCAGTCTGAGGCTGTTCCCACACTGGCTTATGTCACTAAAACTCCATTGACTGGAGTTACAGAATCACTTCCAGCAGGAAAAGATGAAAACCGAATTGCACAATAGAGCCATTTGTTACCAAAATAAATAAATAAGCCCTGCTCCGGGGGTGATTGCTGTGAACACAGGCTGGTGGGTGATTCAGAGCCCAGTGCCACTGCAGGAGCTCTGCTCACCCCAGACCCAGGCTGGGAAGTTCCAAATCCCCAGCTCTCACCCATGGCTGTTCTCTCCTGGCAGCTCCCCAGCACTGCTTCCTTCCTCCAAACCACTTTCTTCTGTCCCTCCTTGCATATTCGTTTCTCTTTTCTTTGCCATGGGAATACTTTAGAAATCCGGTGGTAATGTGAAGTCCCATTTGGGATAAACAGAAATGTCCGTGTTTTCATGTGCCACGTGCATGGATGCTCTGCTCCACTCCCTTGCACCCAGGGCCACTTGCTTGTGGGGAACACGCACCACAGCAGGGTGGTGGATCCACTGCAGGGAACAGAAATGGGCCAAAGGTGGCAGAAATGAGGAGAAGGGGTGTGGAGACCGTCCTGCTGCTGATCCCAAGCCCGAGGTGAGGGCAGCAGCGCTCTGGGGTATGACACTGCCTTGCTGATGGTTTAAATTACAATTACTTCTTTTCCTCACATGAGAGATGTGTTCCCAGAGCATGTGAGCGTGAGGGGCTCCCCTGCTTGTCTTGACTCGGAGGAGGAGGCTGTGACAGGCAGCCCTGAGCCCTCCTCCTGCAGATCCAGTGCTCCCAACACACCTGGGCCCCTTTGCTGGCCACCATCCCATGGCAGGTTGGCTGCTCTGTGCAGATCAAGTACGGGCTCATCCTGAATCGCTTTGGAATGCAAAAATCAGGATTAACTGTTGCAAAAGGCAAGGTGGGTGAGCTCTGTAGTGCAAAAATCCAGTGTGAGCAGGGGCTGCAGCCCTGACTCTCAGGATCCTTTGGATGATGCTATGAGCTCCAAGATGTTTGTGGACACCCCATACCTGGACAGATGTAAAGGCCCGGCCCTGCTTCCCCCCAGGCAATCCCTGCAGCCCAGCAGGGCAGCAGCACGTGGCTGTGGCCAAGCATCCCCTCATGGCAGTGCTGTTCCCACAGGCACCTTACCAGCTCTCTGCTTTCAGCTTGGCTGCATGGACGGATACAAAACAGCACTCACAGGCTGATGTTGAGGGAGTAATTCCCAGGATTTCAGTGTAACTAGCAACCGTGGCAAACTGGGTGGCTGCCTTTGGTGGGACAGGCTGTTTCTGGGAGCAGGCAGTCTTAAGTGGGACTTGCTGAAATGCTTTTGCACAAATAGCCAATTCATCTGTGAATGAATAGTTCCCTTGCTGAGCTCTCCCACTCTTTGTAGTAAAAGTGTGTTTGGCAGGCTGCTTTCATAGTCTGGTGTGGAGAACTACTGAGGGGAGCAATCAGTACTCCTTCTCAGTTCATAGTATCCCAGGATGGTTTGGGTTAGAAGGAACTTTGAAGTTCATCTAGTTCCAGCTGCCCTGCCGTGGGCAGGGACACCTTCCACTAGCCCAGGTTGCTCCAAGCCCTTGGACACTTCCAGGGATGGGGCAGTGTCACAGCTTCTCTGGGCAACCTGTGCCAGGGCCTCCCCACCCTTACAGTTCACCCTGACATCATTACAGCCACACAGTCAGGGTTTTATTAGATGTGAAGATTTCTGAAAAGGTGGTCAAAGCTCAGGAGAAAATAACCTTGTGGGTGGGTATTGCCCAGTAACTTCAGCTGGGTGTGATCTCTGCAGGGGTTCTACCATTCTTGAAGGGCTGATTGTGGTTCCAGAGGGTTGTAGGGTGGGGAGCTCTCAGGGGAGCAGAGGTGGCTGTGGGATGCTGGGCTGGCACTGGGGTGCAGCATCGGGCCCGAGGGATGGAGATGGCCTGGAGTATGGGCTCTGTGTCACTGTCCCCTCTCTGCTGCCCCCACCACTTCATAGCCCAACAATGAGTGAGGTTAATTGTTTGTGAGGTTGTTTGTTTTTTTTTTTTTTCTTGTGCAAACTTATAAACTCCTCCAGAGTCTCATGTGAGGGGTGCCCCCCATTTGCTGCCTGGCCTCTCTGCCAGCCCCAGCACTCGCTTGGCACAAACACAGGAGAAGGCTGAGAGAGAGTAGCCTGACCTTCAGGACAGCACAGCCCAGAAGCTGTTCCCAGGAGGAAAAAAGCTGGTTTGTGTTAATGTTAGTGGTGCCATTGTGTGGGAAGTCCTGGCCTCCCCATGGGAGTGAAGCCATGTAACTCCACAAGCTGGAGCAAGGCCAGAGGGCAAGAGGAAAGGGGCTGCCTGGGCTCCTGTGGCTGAAAAACTTTTTTTTTTAAGACCTTGACTCCCGTAAAGTCATAAATAGAGCTGTGTGAAACCTTAACTGTTTGGATTCCCCCTGGACAGCACCTGCTTGGCTCATCCCTCACAGGGCTGGCTGATACCGGAGACTCTCCAGTGGGGAGTTGATACTGGACCAACACTGTAAACAGGAGTTATTTAAAATGCTCCTTGTGTAGTCAACAGCCGAACAGGAGTCCCCTGAGGACAGCCCTGACCTTGCACCCTGGAGCAGTGACCCCCTGCCTGGCTCCCCCTCTCCCCTCTCTCTGTACGTGCAAGAGGCAAAAGCAAAGCAACCTGTTGTGGTGGTGTCTGGATCAGTGCCTGACCTGCAGCTTGCCCTTGGCTTTTCCAGGAGCAGGTCTTGCTCCATGAGCCCAGCACATGGGCTCCCTGCCTTCCCTGCACTCCTAGAAAAGCAATGCTGGCAGCTAAAGGGAATGAGCTGCAGACAGCAGAGTGTCATCATGCCCTATCGTAACCCTTGTCTCATCCCCTGTGTCCTCCTGCACAGCCCTCCTCACACAGAAGGAGAACAGGTTTCCTCTTTTTTTTTTTTTTCCCCACTGTCCAAGCAGTGCAGGGGCCAGGGGTGCCCAGCACCCCCCCAGTCTGCGGGGAGCTGAACCTCCAGCCCTTCTCTTCTCCTTGGGAAATACCCTGGCGTTTGTCCTTCCTGGGAGCCACCCATCTTCCCCATGGCAGGGTACAGAGTGGGACCCTGTGCTGGTGTGCTCACAGCCTGATACCCTGGCACCCCTTTATCCTCACTTCACAGTCACCACTTGTTTCTTCCAGAAAACATTCAGGCAATGAAATGAAACTTTCATGGCTTGAATCACCTATAATTTACCCTGATGTAAATCATAAGGAGCTCAAAGTTGGGAATGTGAAACTGGCAAAGAGGAAGGCAGTGGTGTTTTGGGGGTGTCTGTGCAGTGTTCTTCACACAGAGGTAACCTGGCTTTGCCCCACTCCACGGGAGCTGAGGGCTCGTGACTGGTGCTGGTGCTGTGTTGTGACCCTGCCAGGGCTGTGACCACCACACAGCCCCTGTCCTGCTCAGGGAAGGCTGAGCGAGCTCCCGGTGGTCCTGAGGGGACAGTTGTAGCTGGATCCTGGAGGTTGGCAAAGCATGTTCTCCCCTTCCCAAACTGCACAGAGCCCCGTGCTGCCCGTGTCCATCCCCAGCCTCCCCTGACCTGACCCCCGCTGTGGCTCTTGCAGAGTTTGCCGTTTCTCTGGCGGAGAAGATGCAGGCTCAGGAGATCCTGCGGAGCCTGCGGCTCCCCGAGTTCGATGACCTCAGCCAGTTCTTCCGCAACCTGCCGGCCACGGCGCTGGTTGGCATCGGCGCCTTCGCCGCCGTCGTGGCCTACTGGTTCGCCAGCCGGCCCCGCGCCGTGAAACCGCCCTGCGACCTGCGCATGCAGTCCGAGGAGGTGGAGGTGAGCCCGGGGGCACCCTGACTGCCTGTCCCCGAGGTTGGCATGCCTGGAAGTCATACAATGGTTTGGGACCTCCTTCCAACCCCCCTGCCATGGGCAGGGACACCTTCCACCAGCCCAGGTTGCTCCAAGCCCCATCCAACCTGGCCTTGGACACTTCCAGGGATCCAGGGGCAGCCACAGCTTCTCTGGGCAACCTGTGCCAGGGCCTCCCCACCCTCACAGGGAAGAACTTCTTCCAAATATCTAATCTAATACTTTCTCTCAGTTTGAAGCCATTGCCTCTTGTTCTGTCACTACGTGCCCTTGCAAAAAGTCCCTCTCCAGCTCTCTTTTATAGGCCCCCTTCAATAAGGTCTCCCCAGAGCCTTCTCTTCTCTAGAGTGAACAACCCCAGCTCTCTCAACCTTTCCTCTTAAGGAAGGTGTCCCATCCCTCTAATCACCTTTGTGACCTGCTCTGGACTCGCCCCAACAGGTCTGTGTCCACAAGGGATGCCAGGAAGGCATTTTTTTTGTTTCTGTAGTTCCCCAACCCCATCCTGAAATCAGCCATGTAATGCACTGTGCCAGGGATCCTCTCACCCCTTCGTTCACCAATTCACCTCTTTCTGAAAACTGGAAAACTAGAATGCAGCACATTAATTTATTCTCTTACATTCTCAGTAACATTTTGGTCTTAGCTTTACTTAACCGTCCATGGCCAAAAATTAGAGGCACTGCTATTGCATGGGAGAAACCACTGAGAGGTAACAGCTGGTAAGACCAGATCAACTGGCACTCCTCATGTGTGCCCATTGCTGAGTTTGCTGCTGCAAACTTGGTAATAGTAAGAAAAAAGTAGACCTGAATCCATGCTCAGAGGCTGAAGAGTTATTAATTTTCATGCTTGCAAAGGTTTTAAAGTTTAATGAAGCTGCTCTGTTTTAAAGAGCAGAAATATTTCTGAAACTTATCTCCACTTAATTTAATATCTGAAAGTGGGATGAGAATTTTTAAAACCTTTTGTGATGTTCCCTCTAAAAAGTTATTGTCTTTAATTCCCTTCTTAAAAGGGTGGGAGGAATTTACATTTTTCAAGGCAGTTTTTCCCTTGTGGTTAGGGCTTTAGTTAGACTTTCTTCTGGCTCCCAGTGCAGTCCCAGTTTGGTCACCCCCACGCTGGCTATCTCCCCTGCCCACTCCTAAAACACCCCTGCTGAGCCTCTGCCTTAGTCTGTCCTTCATGTTGGTCTGGATGTCCTTGAGAAGGTGCCCGTGGTGCCAGTCCTGGGGATCTGTGGAGCCCAGAGCAGTCACTGCCCCCAGCACAGCCCAGTCCATTACCTGCAGATCCATAATTCCTGCTTAAATCCCCTTGGGAAGTATCAGCCCTCTCCCATGACAATGAGCTCCTCTCTGGGCAGGTGTCACCGGGGTGCTGAGGGGGATGTCCCACCTCCCCGTCCCTTTTTGGGGCAGGGGTGTGGTGGTGGTGCAGAGGTCTCACCGCTCTTTGGGGAGTGTGGTGCTGTGGGGGGGTTCCCTGTCCCACCCGTGTCACCTTTGTCCCCTGATGTCCCGCAGGGCCTGGCCGGGGCGCGCCGGTCGGTGATCGGGGACAGCCCTCAGCTGCTGACACACTACTACGATGACGCCAGGACCATGTACGAGGTCTTCAGGAGGGGATTCAGCATCTCTGGTGAGAGCACGGTGGTGAGGAGGCCTGGGGGCAGAGGGGGGGACCAGGTGATGCAGGTGTCCTTACCCATCAGTTGATGGCACCATCAGAAAGCTCTCAAACACTCCTGAGACATCGAGTCCCACTCCAAAAAGCCACGATGATTCTTCCCTGCTCTATCATAACCATTTTTGTGTCTGCTGTTTATGATGTCATGCCTCATTGGACACAACAATTTCATGGTCAGATTATTATTTTTGATACCACCAAAAACCTCAGTGGAATTGCACCTGTTCCACCCCACAGGACAGGGGTGAATAAATGACTCAGTAGGTGTATGGAGGAAAGGGTCTTGTGCAGGTAGGTACAGTCAGCAAATTATTTAAACTTTTCAAATCTTCATCCTGTCACACAGTGCTGCGTGTTGTTTTTACTCCTCCAGAGTAGGCTGGGCTAAAAATAGCAGTTTTCACTTTGAACTGTTTTAATCAAAAGGCAGTGCAAGCAGTGGGAGCTGGGGTTTGGGATGAGAGCCCTCATCAGACACTAATGCTCACATGACCTTCCCAGAAGTGTCTTCTGATGAAGCTGTTTGGGGCAAACTGCTGCTGTCCCTCCTGTAGCTCGGGGGGGGGATTAGAGCTCTTTGGGATCCCAGCAGCTCAATTTCCATCAGGTGCTCTTGTGTGTGTAATTTGCTGGAGTGAGAGGCAGCCCCCCCAGTAACTGGATTTACTGTGGGAGGGCTCTGCCACATCCCCAGAGTGTGGCACTGGGCATTAACCCCCATGACTTGTCATCTCTGCTTGTGTCTTCCAGAGAACGGCCCCTGCCTGGGGTTCAGGAAACCCAAGCAGCCCTACCAGTGGCTGTCCTACAAGGAGGTGAGCTGGAGATGACACCCTTGTCCATCCTCTCCCCCTGCCCGACAGAAGAAGGGGTGTTGGGTGCCCGTTGGTGACACACGGGCCACACCAGGGTGTAGCTCCTGAGCTGTGCGAGGGTTCCCGTGTCCCCACCCTGGCACATCCAGGTGTTGTATCGGTGTGTCAGCTTCCAGGGGCTGGCTCCATGCCATGAGCCCACTCCTGACTGCAGCACTGACACACTCTGGAGCTGTGGGGCATCGCCAGCCAGACATCAGCTGCTAGTCAACTAATGATGGCTCCTGATAAGATAAAAATTGCACTTTTCCATAGCAAATATGATAATTTGAGAGCCTCCCTGTATAACTCTTCACTTAGTTTGGTATTGCTTATATTCCTCTTCTTTAATGTATTTTTTCCTATCCAAATTCCAGGTGGCTGAAAGAGCAGAAGCTCTGGGTTCAGGCCTTCTGCAGCAGGGCTGCAAGCCATCCACAAAGCAGTTCATTGGGGTCTTTGCTCAAAACCGTCCAGAGGTGAGATTTTAAGTTCACCTTGATGTTGTATTAATAATGTTCCTGACTTGTCAGCTTGTTCTCAGTGTGTTAAATCTGCTCCCACGGCCCCTTCTCACCTCTGTGCTTCCCTGCCCTCCTGCAGTGGATCATCTCTGAGCTGGCTTGCTACACCTACTCCATGGTGGTGGTTCCCCTCTATGACACTTTGGGTCCTGGAGCCATTCGGTACATTGTCAACACAGGTAACACCAAAATTGATGTAATCTTCTCAGAAATCAGTTTTGTTGCTCAGAATGGGTCATTTTCTGCTTCTAAAAGACAGGGGAATGTGGAATCCTAGAACGGTTTGGGTTGGAAGGGACCTTAAAGCTCACCTAGTTCCAACCCCCCTGCCATGGGCAGGGACACCTTCCACTGTCCCAGGTTACTCCAAGCCCCGTCCAACCTGGCTTTGAACACTTTGAACACTCCCAGGGATGGGGCATTGTGACTCTCTGAGTGCCCTGAAGTCACTCAGAGAGGTTCCTGGGGAGCCGTGTGTCCCCATGCTGGGTCAGGGCTGCCTCTGCTGTGTTTCTCACAGTCCCAGTTGTGCATAGCCATGGATAGGGCTGCTCTGGGTGTGGGAATTACTCCACAGCCACCCACTCCTGTGCTGCTTCATATTTTGCCTCCTGGATTTTATAACCCGTGTGGGGAGCAATTTTATTATTCTGAGCTGAATCCCAGAATAATCGTGGATGTCAGCTGCAGCTCTGGTATTGATTTAGGTTAGCTAAGATTGCAGTAATTTTTCAAGAGAGTGCTGGGATTTCTGATGTAGCCTGGAGTGACTATCAGAACTGATACAGCGTTAGCTGTGAGCCAGAGTCTTGCATTAAAAAGGATTTACTGCAAACAGCTTGTTTGGCTGCTCTTCTTCCAGCTGACATTTCCACGGTCATTTGTGACAAGCCTGAAAAAGCCAGGATCCTCCTGGACCACGTGGAGAGGAAGGAAACACCAGGCCTGAGCTCCATCATCCTGATGGACCCCTTTGAGAAGGAGCTGGTGGAGAGAGGGAGGCGCTGCGGGGTTCGCATCCAGACCATGCAGGAGGTGGAGGTGAGTTTGCTCTCCCTCTCTTTTAACAATTCTTTGTAATTTCTATAAAAAGACAGTAAAATATACGGGGACTTGTGAACCACGTGGCAGGTTCAGTGTCTGGAGAGCACAAAAGAGCAGCTTATGGCTGATAACACTGAGCTTGTGGCTGATAATACTGAGCTTGGTGCAGTTGCCTCTTGGTGTTGTTCCTTGTTGATGGCAGAGCCAACATTCCAGTCCTTTCTCCTCAAATACACTATCAGCTGCTATTTAGGCCTGGGAAACAGGTTGTTATTTGAGATGCTGTCCTCCTACATATAAGCCTACAGCCTCACACTTGTATGAAACACCCTGGATCCAGCTCAACCAACCCAAGCACTGCTTGAAATCCAAGGATGGCACTGCAGTTAAGGCAAGAAAGTCTGGAGAGAAGAGATGACCTAAGTGCCAGCCACGAATTTTTCTGCTCTAGCTCACACTCTCCCTTAATGGTTTGCAGATGATTAGCAAGTGGGTTACACTGCAGGAATTAAAGTGAAAGTCACTTCTGTTACTTTAATCTCTTCCAGGACCGTGGCCGTGAGAGTCGACATGTGCCTGTGGTGAGTCTTGGCATGTTGCTTTTGCCACTTCCAGCTGCAGCTGACAGTGTGACATTTATTGCACTGACAAAAGGGGGGACGGTTTTCTCTGGCAGAGGAAGCCTCTCCACGAGGGAAACAGTGGAGGAGCCCAGGGACTGCTGATACCATCCAATGGAGATCACAGAATCATTGAATGGTTTGGTTGGAAGGCACCTTAAAGTTCATCTCATTCCACCCCCTGCCCAGGGCAGGGACACCTCCCACCAGCCCAGGTTGCTCCAAGCCCCATCCAACCTGGCCTTGGACACTTCCAGGGATGGGGTAGCCACAGCTTCTCTGGGCAACCTGTGCCCACCCTCCCAGGGAAGGATGGACAGTATTTGCTTCATCCCTGTTGAACATTTAATGGGACAGCAGTGAAATGCTGTGGTTAAGTCACTCGAATTCCAGTAGTTACCCAGGGTGGCACTGGGGGAATGTCTCTGCACCCTTTGCTTTCTGCTGGGGTTTCTGTAGCTCAGAAACACTCCTTGGCAGTATTTAGCTGGGATATTTTTGGAAAATTGCTGTGATATTTTTCACTGGCTGCTCATACTCGTGCAAAACTCTCAAAAACAGCTTCTGATGTTCAAGCTTTTTATTTAGTCACTCATGACCCAAAATAGCACACACATGAGGTGGTGCTGAGAATACAGAGATGCTGCTGGAAATGGGAGCAATCAGCAGCTTTGGAATCTTGTTCCCTGTTGTGGAGTTGTTTCCAGAATTATCTGGAAATCAGTAAATTGTCTCAAGTTTTCCCACACACCTACAGGTATAGATGATGTCTTTGCAAATACTAATGGCAAGGCAAGTATTCCCTCAGTCTTCTTACCCTAAAGCATGTCCTTAGTGCAGCTGGAGCAAAGCACAAGGAATAGAGTTTGCATCAACTGAAGAAACCTGATAAAAAGAGTTTTATGATGGTCTGAGGGGACAGAAAGGTTTTTATGGCAAAGCTAAAACATAATTGGTTTAGTCTTTAGGTTTACACAATGGCAACAGTCTCTCCTGTTAACCCTTCTGCATTTGATTAATGTGATTTTCTTATTCTCCTTGTGTATTTCCAGCCTCCTCGACCGGAAGATCTATCAATTGTCTGTTTTACCAGTGGCACTACAGGTAAAAGAGGCATTTAAATCTTGAAATGTTAGAATATATTATGAAATTATTCATTAATCCCATTTCAATATATGCAAACTTGCTGTTATACTGACATGGCAATGATATTTCTATGCACTTTAAATATTTTAGAATATATATATGTATATACATTTCTGTAGATTGCAAATTAAAAATAACATTTTTCTTTTTCACTTGAATTCTCTGACATACACTTTGCCAGTGCAATTTTCCAGTTATCTGGGAACCTGCCCATGTTTCTGCTTCCCCTTTTACAGTGTAGTTGTGAAGCACTTGGTTGATTTGTATTTATCTTCTGCTGATGTTTAAAAAAACCCCCAACCTAAAACACTGAAATGTGGTTCCACAGCTTCCCATTTTCTGTATCCTAAGCACACTGATGTCCTCAGCCTCACCAAGGTCCTTGTCACCTCTGTCTCCTCTGCTGGTGTGTTGCCCATGTCCCTGGGCTGGCCCTGGGGCACCACGTGCTGGGGAGGTCGGGGCTGAGCCTGGGCAGCCCTGGGTGCTGGTACCCATGTGCCACTGGCCTCCTTTGCTTGGGGATGAGCAGCATCATTTTCCTGCCTGTTTGCAGCAGAGGCAGTGCTTTCTCCTCTCTCCAGACCCTGGTTTTCATCAGCTTGCAGGAATTTCCTGCTCTTGAGAACTCAACCCCTGTAACGTCTCCCTAAAAGCTGCACAGGGTGATGCACGAGACATCACTGCTTGGGAAGCTGCCTTTGCACTTCCCATGCTCCAGGGACTGCTGGAGCAGCTCTTCCACGTTCACCTGTGCTCTCAGGATTGTCTAATGCTTGGTCCTACCCCAAAGCATCCTCGGTTTGGCCTCAGCCCCTTTAGGCCAGAGAAGATGCTGGAGCTGCTGGTGCTGCCCAGCCTGTGGGTCAGGCTGGGCACGAGGGGACACCTTCATCTTCCACCCCCCAGAGAAGACCTGTGCTGCAGACCAGGTAGGCAACTGCTTTATCAACCCCAGGTACAAACTCAAGGTGTATTAAAAGGGTTTGGGTATTTTACTTTTGTACATCACTGTTAGTTTTGGGATCTGCACTTCAGAGTTCCCAGGGCAGAGCACGGAGGGAAAGGAGCCTGTGACTCTGCTGTGTCCCAGCACTGGGAATTCCTAAATGGGAAAGACTCAAGTCAGTGCAGGACATGGATATCACAGCCATGTACAGGGTCAGTGCAGAGGGGCTGGGCACAGCTGGGACCTGCAGGAAGATGAAGGAGCCATGCCATGGATACAGCAGGGCACAGAGTGTTTGTGTGCATTCTCAAGTGCAGAGTGACTAATTTGTCAAGCCACATTTTTGTTGATATTTTTATTTCTAAATAAGCAATTCTGCATAGAAAAGGGGGTTTTTTAACTTTCTTTTCCTATTTGCAAATGCAGTCATGGGCCAGCTTCTGATTTTGTGTTTTTCTTAGAAAAATGCCCGAGGTTACAGAATTAGGACAACCAGGGAGCTCATTTCCTTTCTCCCATCCAAACCAGAGATTTCAAATTCTGCAAACCTCTCAAATTGAACTCTCTCAGAGCAATGCTTTGTGACCCACCCTGCTAGTGCAGGACTTTGCACACCGCTCTCTGGCTTTTCCAGAGTTTGCATCAACACTCTGGTCTTTTTTCTACATTGTATTAGTTTTGATGTAAAAGGCTTGGAGTTCTGTATAGCCCGTCATTTTTAATGACCAGATTTAGAATTTTCTTCCAAAGAATATGTTCTCTGGGGCTTTTTCAATTCTGAAGGGCTCTAAGTATTTTTAGTATAGTGTGAAAAAAAAAATCTCTTCTGTAGAATTTGTAACCTGAAAATGGTAAAATTGGAAACAATTCCCCAAAGTAGACTTTAATGTTTGCTTTTCTTTGATAGGACCAGATGTCCCAACGCCTCCCCAGGGAGAAGGGAGAGTCTGAGGTTGTTGAGCTCCGATGACAAGACCAGCTTTCATGGTTGTGCCAAGAAACCATCAGCACTTGGAAATGGGCCAAAGGCACACAGATGTCCCCAAACCATCAGGATAAAATTTTTCATGCTGGCTACTCCAGAGGAGTCAGCTGTCATTCCCTCAAGGATCCACCCGTAACCAGTTGGATAAAAATGACTTCCCAGCGGTTTCTCCCAGCCTGGCAGTGCCTGTTCCTGTCTGCCAGAGCTCCCGGGCCGAGGAAAGTGCTTGCATCCCAAAACACTGATGGATCACACCTCTGAGTTAGTGCTGGAGCTGCTACTTGAAAGACCCCTTTAGCAATGTGGGAAAGGTTCTATTGCTAATGAGAACTGTCAAACCCTGGCACCAAGATAAGGAGGACCTGACGTTCCCGGGCTATCAATGGTTGGGATCACAGGGCATCTGTTCCGTAACAGGAGACTCACTGGGTCTGTCTTTCTGAGGAAATTCAAACAAGAGCAGCATTACAGACTTGGCATTGATTTTTTTAAAATAGAACAGCAACATGACTGCCAACCTTCTTCTCTCAAAGTGGCAGTTCTGGGAAAGGGCTCACAGAAAGGGGCACCTGATTTGCTGGGTTAACTCTTAGAACAGAACTACTGAGGAAGGTCAGAATTTACAGGAGTCCCCCAGCCCAAGAAAGCTGCAGCTGCCCTGTGGCAGCGTGGTTTGTTCTGGATTTCTCCCGATGAAGGCTCTCCTGGCTCCAACACTGCTGCTCTGCTCCGACACCGTTATCCCACAACCTGAGCAGGAGGGACCCAGGGAAGGAGCCAGGATGTTCACTCTGCTTCCAGGCGTGGCAGGGTGGCTTAAACAGAGGTACTGAACTGCATTCAAGTCAGAGGTGGAGCAAGTAAATGAGTCTGAGATCTGAGAAATCTTCCCATAGAATCACAGACTGGTTTGGTTTGGAAGAGACCTTAAAGCACATCTTGTTCCAACCATGGGCAGGGACAGCTTCCACTGGATCACAATGCTCCAAGCCCTGTCCAACCTGGCCTTGAATACTTGAAATCTTCAAAAAAAACCAAACAACTGAAGAGCTTTGTCAAGGTGCAGGGACCAACTCTGCTGTAGGTATAGCTGGAGGGCACAGTTTTGAGTTTCCAAACCAGTACTCAGCACATCCTCTCTGAGCTGTGGGAGCTGTGGGAGCTGCAAGGGCTGCGCACGCGTGTCTGGCTGGACTCAGCTGGAATAACACAAACAATTTCTGGGCTGTGATGTGTATTTACAACTGACACTGGTTTGTGGAGTTTTCTTGAAGTCTGGATCCATGTGTGCACCCAGCTGTGACAATAACCTGCCAGGTTGAGCTGGCACCCACCAGCCCGTTGGTCCAGCACATCAGGGCAGGAGCAGTTGTGGCTGGCAGAGCTGTCAGCCCCAGCTTCACTCCTGAGCCTTGGATGAGGATGAATGTCAGCGACACCAAACCAGCCTCCTGTGCACCGTGTTCATCTGCAAGTGTTTGGGACTGAATTACTCGAGGCACATGGAACAGCAGATATGGATTTTCAGTGGAATATATTGTGTTAAAAATATATCCCTCTCTGGTGCAATAAATGTGTGCAGCAATTGCTCCTGCCGTTTGGGCCTGCCTTTAATTAGTTGTGAGGTTGAGTAGGAGCGATGTTGGTGACACTGGCAGGGCACAGGGCTCAGTGCTGTGTGTGCCCGTGCCCACCCCGGAGGGCTCCCAGCCTGCAAAATGCCTCTGAAGTGAGAGGATTAAACATCTTTTCCTGTGCTGAAACATATTCACAAAGCACCTGTGCCCCTTCTAATCCGAGGAAGGCAGGATGAAATTCTGGCTGATTTGCCATTTAGCTCCGTTACCTGTAGGAGCTTTGCCAGGCTGCCTGTGCCCCCCGTGCTGGGCCCCGCAGGGCACAGCTCCTCCCATGTGCTGCTACGTGGCACTGGTGTGATTGAATTAAAACAATCTGCTTAAAAACCTGCTGGAGAGAGAGAGAGGCTGGGCCTGTAATCTTTATTCGAGCTGAGCTACACCTTCTTTTCAGAAATAAACCCTTGGAGGGTGATGAAAAGGGACAGTGCTGTGACAGGAGGACGTGCAGAGCTCTCCGTGCCACTGGTCTGTGTGCCTGGAGGTTCCAGCCTCTGTGTTTGCTGCTTAACAAACCCTGTATTTTGGCGTCTAAACAGATCTGAGATGCAAGGGGTGGCCAGCTGAGAAAAGAGGGTGAGAAAGCAAATATTGGTCGTGCAGAGTTGCCCACCAGTGGTGGGTGAAACACTGCAGGGGCAGTACCCAGCTCCGGGGCTTTGCTGGCTCCCTAATGGATTTAGGGCTGTCTCCAAAACATTTCTCCTCTGCTGCTGACACTATTAATGACTTCCTTTAATTGCAGCCTCATAGAGTCTTTTTGTTTTCTGCATTGTTCAGGTTATCTAGAGTACTGGCTGAGTAAGACTGTAAGAGCCTTTTAAATGATGTTTCTTGGTGTTCAATATCATTCTTAGTCAAAATCTGGATGAAATAAATCCTCCCTGGAGAGGCTGGAGCAGCCAGCCTGGTCTGATGCCTGTGCTTATCAAGCGGCTCCATATGAGCACTCAGAAATGGCAGTTGGGTTATTTCTGCTGGAAACTGTTGTCCAGAGTCTCCAACAGAAATATTTGTGTTTACAGTATCATTTCATTAAAGTTTGAGTATTGCAGTAAGTGCTTTAGGTGCATGTTACTGCAGAGAAATGATGGTGAAGATTACGTAAGTTTTAAAATTCAAGAAGAGAACTTAATATTTTAACTATTTCTTGTTTCTTTTTTTTTAATTTTTTTTTTTTGATGTTAAATTTTCAAAAGTTCCCTTCTGGCTCATGGTTTAAACTCCCTCTCTGTTTCCTTGCAGGGAACCCCAAAGGTGCTATGCTGACCCATGGGAATGTGGTGGCGGATTTTTCAGGCTTTTTGAAAGTGACGGAGGTGAATACCCTGAGCTAGAGAACATTGCCATGTGCACGGTGTGGGGGTTAAGCTGGGGCCCTGCACGGGCTGCAAATCCACTCTTGCAGATTAGAGGTGAAATTTCTCCTGCTCAGAGGGCCAAATCCATGGGAATGGGAGCGAGGCTGAGCCTACAGCACCAGAGGGCATTAAATCCCCTTTCCAGCCCTGGCTCCCAGGCTCTGTAGGGCACAAATTGCTGAGAAGCAATACTGACTCCTGTAAATCAATTAATTAACTCATTTTGAAGAATTAGGAGAGCAGACAAGTCCTGTACAGTTGCAACTGGTGCTTGAGGAGGAGTTCAGGGTGCAGTTGTGCTCTTTGTGTCCCATTGTGCCCCACAACGTCCTCATTGATTTGAAAGCTCTCTGCATACCAAGTGGGTGTGTGTATATATTAATATATAGAAGAACATACATACTTTTTAACAAGAATGGTTAATTTCATTGATATTCCAGTGTATCTCAGTTTCTGTCATACATGTTTCTAAAAAAGCATAGTACTGGCCAAGTGCCTTTATAATATGTTTCACACGGTGTGTAAACTTGTGTTTAGAAACACTGTAGGGAGCAGAATCACTTTATCACAACATAGTAAGGATTAACAGCTTAAATAGAACAAGTATAAATAATCTAATTTTTGGTAGCAAACAAGCAATTCTATAAAGTCATGATATGCACATTGGATGGACAGTTGGTTGCCTCGTACCCCTCGCTGGTCTTATTGTTGAGGTTGAAATTACTGCAGTCTTATTACCTTAATCCTTGAACTTTCTGAGGTTTCCTGGTGTAAAGAAACTCGGACATGTGATGTGAGAAATGCCACTGAGCTCCCGTGTCCCAGTCCTTGCAGGGCTGTGGCTCCAGCCATGGGCAGTGGGAAGGGCCAGGGCAGTGTTTTGCTGCAGGAGCCCTCGGGCTCTCGGTGGCCTCAGAGGCACAAATGAAAGCTGAGGTGTGGGGAGGTCTGAGCTCCAAAGGGCAGCAACGTTTATTTTGGAAGAGACCTCATTTAGAGCTGAGGGAACTTGGCATCTTTCAAGACTGGCCCATAAAAATGGATTTAGTGTTTGCTGACTGCAGTGGGACTCCTTGATTCGTCTCAAAGGTATCAGATTGAGAGCAGAGTCTGGTGTAAGTGGTTGTGAATTTGAGAGCTCCAGTCACCAGAGTACTGCAGGCAGGGGGAAAGGTCTGTAGCTGATCCCCAAGATTTGGCCAGTGTCTGACCACAGTAATGAAATTCAGCAAAGTGCAAAACACTTGAAAAGAGTATAAATTAGTGAAATAAAATGAGAAGTCCTGTAGAGTTGCTGTTTACATACTCTCATGCCAGTTTTACTTAGATCAGTGATTTTTAGAAATTGAGCATATTTTGAAGTGAGCCCAGAGCTTCATTATAAGGTTGGTCTCAAATGCCAAGAGGCTGTTTTAATTTTTACAGTTAACTGGACAACTGTGCCAACTTTGAAATACCATTCAATGTCATCATTTTGGTCTGATTTAAAACCAAATTATTTTGTCTGGGCCTTTAAAGCAGTACATAAAAACCCTGGTGATGTTAAAGGTTTTGCATTACTGTGCTTGCAAAAAATGAGGCCAAACTGTAATAACATATAAATAGGTCTGCAGGCCCTAATGGCTTCATTCAGACTGACAGACAAAATAATATGTAATGGGATGCTGAAAACACCCACGTGGTCAGTGTTGTTTGACTTCAGGAGGTGATGGTTGGGAGGCCATACCCAAATCTGACCAGCCCAGATTTAACTTCAATAAAATATCCCCTGAGGGAGGAACTCCTGTGCCTGCATCCACCATATCCCAGCTCATGGGTTATCGGTTCCACCCGAGCAGTGGAGATGCAGAGTGGGTATAAACTGTTACTACTGTGACCTGATAGATTTTTATACCCATTTTCCACTAACCACTGGCCTTGGTGCAAATTATTAGGTAGTCAACCTTTCAGGTTTTGTAATCCATAATAGTATAGCAGGCCTTACCCTAGGAAATGCAGGTAGAAAAGCTATTTTCTTTTGGGGCATGGGTTAGGTAAGGCTCTTGGAGCCTTTGTTTATTCCAGCTTGCAGGAGAGAGTTAAAAACTTGGCAAACTGAAGACTGGTCAGTTATTTTCTTAATAATTTGCCCAACTTTCTCTTTCCCCACTGTGCCTGTCTGTGGGACAGTGACAATGCCCTTAAAATCACATTTCAATCACTTAAAATGATGAGAAATGCTAACAGAAGTCAATAATTTTTGCAGCTAAAAATGAAATCATTTGTTTTCCCAACATACTCTGATTCAAATCAATGAATAACCAAAGGAAAAGCAAAAAAAAAAAAAAAAAAAATCTATAACTTTGACTCCAGTACCACTGTGACTCTCAGATGGGCTCTGTGCAATGTGGGAAAGCCCTGACGGTGTCCGGGAGGCTCCTGCAGGTTGGCACAGGGATCCTGGGGGCTCCTGCAGGTTGGCACAGGGATCCTGGAGGCTCCTGCAGGTTTGCTCCTGGATCCTGCTGTTGTGCACCCAGCTGAGAGCACAGATGGGGGGCTCAGCACCTCCTGAGAGAGAGCAGTGAACACAGCCTGGGTTCTCTGCCAGGGTGAGCCTCCATTCCCAGATTCCCATCTGCCTTTGCTGTGGAGGCCTCTCCATGCCCTGTGTGTGCATCTCTCTGCTCCTCCTGCTAACCCAGCTCCATGACGCTGTGGCTTTAACGCTTCCCTGTGTCCGCCGCTCCCTCCTCTCTTGACAGTCTTTACCCTTTTGCTCCTCTGGTGCCATTTTTCTCTTTATTGTTTTATGACTTTCTTGTTGTCTTCCTGTCAGTGTTTCTTTCCTTTCTGTCTCCCATGCCCTCCACCTGCAGAAAGTGATCTTTCCGAGACAGGACGATGTGCTCATCTCCTTCCTGCCTCTGGCTCACATGTTTGAAAGAGTTATACAGGTAAGAAACCTGCCTGAACTGACGAGGCCTCGTGGGGCTCCTTGTGTTTTCTTCCAGAGTCAGTGGTCTCCTACTTGTGAGGATGTACACATTTCCTATTTGCCTTTAGCACACATGTTTGAGAGAATGGTACAGGTAAGGTCCTGGTGTCAGTGGAAATCGTCTTTTTTCCACGCCAAAAAAGAAAAAAATTAAATGAATAAAATACTAAATAACCAGTCATACCTTGTAGAACTAAAAAAGCTTGTACTCCAGAAGTGCCACATGCATAACACCAGGGCCCAGCTGCAGTCTCAGTGCCATGGCTGTGAGTCCAGAGCTATTCCAGGAGAGTTTCCCAAGTTTTCCAGCTTACACTTGGCTCAGAGATTGGAAAACAGCCCTTCAGCAACGAGCTACCTGCTTGTTCAGCTCATGGCTACTGCTGCCTGTGCAGGTTGGGGGGCAGCTTTTCTAAGCACTCCAGGATGACCTTTCATGGGGGTCAAGATAATTTTATGCCATTTTCTACATCAGCTAAAATTGTTTTATTGCATAAATAACCAGATCTGCAAAAAAACCCACCCCAGTTTGGCTACACTGCAGAAGAGGAAACTGAGGTCATGGTGTGAGACACGTGATGCTCCTGGCAGGGCAGGGTGCTGTGGGCACCACTGGAGCCAGTGTCCCCTGGGAAGGGTGGCTGCACAGGCTCGTGCCAGCCAGCAGAACTGACTCCAGTGTCTTTCTGAAAAAAAAAAAAAAAGGTGATAATTTGTGCTGCAATTGGTGTGTTGGGCAAGTCAGGTTAGGCAACCACATCAGGTCTGCTGGCCTGAGAAGCTGCAAGCTCAGAACTGATCCAGTATGTGAAGAGTGGATCTGGATCCAGTTGCAGCTCTGTACTTTCTCAGGGAGGACTGTTTCAGGCTGAAAGCATATTTTTTGAGTCAGACAAGCGTCTTAATGTAAACCTCCCACTTCTTGGTAACATCTGTGCCAGAAATAATATATTTCTGCCCTGTTAAAAACCTCACAAATTGGAAGTGAAAGCCCATGAAAGATTTGGAGAATTACAGCACAGCCTTTCTCCACTTGCAAGGCAAGTTGGTCAGTGTGCCAGCACTGTTTGGGCAAATGGCTTTGCCAGCAAACAAGAATGTAATTATTCAGAAGTCATCTGATGGGGGGTGGGAAGAAATTAAAAACATTTGAAATGCCCTCGTTTCACAGGATGTTGCTGTACTGAAAGGGACAGCCTCCAAAGGATGTTGAGGTTTATCCTCCCTGCTGAAAATGCTCATTAATGCAAAGATTTTTTTCAAAAGGGCTGAAAAGTAATTTTCAAAAACATTCTGAACAGCAAGCACTGTGTCAGCATCCCTAGTTTTAGCCACCATTATTAGTTCCTGGAATTTACAGTTAAAATCATACAGATACATTCTTTAAAGATAAAAACTTCTAGTTGTTATTTTTAATTCCCACTGAGCGCACTGACATTTTTTTTTTAAATCCATGTGCAGTGTAAAGCACAGATTCAGCAGTGTGATGTTTATTAAACCCACATCACATGTATAAAATTCCTGTGGTTTCAGCTGATGGAGACAGTCTAACTGCCTGACAGAGCAGTGAGAGTGCTCAGGTTAATATCACAGGGTTTTAGGAGCAGCACAAAAATACTTGGGTGTCTCTTAAGGAATTTTCAACTGGTTTAGTTGTTTGGGGGAGACAAGCCCACCGAAGGGAGCTGAAGTTCTCAGTCTGCTCAGGAAGGCTGAGCTCAGCCCTGGCATGGTGGGTGCTTGCTAAGGATGCCTTCTCCTCCTTGCACTCTAAAAGCAGGGTAGTGGTGCCAGTCTCCAAATGTTCTTTGGTGATAAAATGCCAGTTTTAACGAGTCCATGACTGGTCCTCTGCAGGATTACTGGTTACCAGTTACCCCCCTGCCCCATCCCACACATCCAGCTCCATTCTGGTCCAATTAAAGCACCCTGCTTCCTTTCCAAGTACAAAACTTCTGGATTTGTAGCTGCTGTACAAGTCAAGCACCTTCTGTGAAGTGGGCTTCTCTTTCTGGGTACAGGATCAGGCACTGTATTGCTAACGTAGTCTGTACTGTTGTATTTAAACAAAACTAAAGTATTAACCTCTAAAAATCGGCTGCTGCTCAGTGTTTGACGATGTTTCTTAGTGTACATTTCTGTATTGACAATTGGTCCTCGTGCTGTGAGCTGCTGTGGGAGGGCTGGGGGACTTCTGATCTAGAATCTGACCACAACTGGGACTTCTCCATCCCTGTATGCACGGGATGGAGGGAAAGCTTTGATTCCTTGCTCTTCCAGAACAAGTGGCAAATTTGGTGGATGCTGAATTGCCAGTACTGAAAAGTGCCCAGAACCATCCAAATATTTCTGTTCAGTGCAAAAGTCATTGTTACTTCTCCGTGTATTTCTGAAGCCCCGTTTTTGCTGTACTGGAGAGCAGAATTTCAAGAAGGGAGGGATGTGCTTGGGAGGGATGCTGTGCTGTGGGAAGTGAAAGCAGGGAGGCTCCATGTGTCCCTTTTCCTCCCCCTCAGTCTGTAGTGTACTGCCACGGAGGGCGGATCGGGTTCTTCCAGGGGGACATCCGTCTCCTGTCCGACGACATGAAGGCCCTGCGTCCCACCATCTTCCCCGTCGTGCCGCGCCTGCTCAACAGGATGTACGACAAGGTGAGTCTGTTGGGTGGGCTCTTCTTGGAGGAATGAAGTGTAATGTCCCTTCAGTACAGTACTTATGTGGAAGAATTCCCTTAGTCATGGAGTTTTCCCAAGCAGATTTCACTATTTCTGCCCTCCTGCAAACACATTCTTCATGCTGTGTAAACGACACAGCTCCTCCACTCTGAGTCTGAATTATGATGATTTACACAGGCTCCAGACACAGCTGTGTGAATATGAAATCCCTCTCTTTTAGCCTCTTACCCTGTTCTCACTGAGCTTACCAGTGACATTTCTAGACACAGGGGATTTGTTCATCACAGAAACATCAGTCAAACCTGACTGCACAAGGACTTCTTGTGCCCTTCAACCAGTTTTGCAACTTGAATTTCTCTTTCTGGTGGCAACTTCAAAAAGCCTATGAGGATTTAGGCAGTGTAAATATGAGGGTGGCTTTTGGATTTAGAAATCCTTAAAACTGAGGTAAAGGTATTGCAAGGTATTTAAGATAGGCACGTCTGGTCATCACGCTAAATCTGTTTGACGAGCTGGGAATATTTATTCCTCAGAAGACTTATCCTCTAAAGACGAGCTTAAGCACAAGCTACCAATTTAATTTTTCCCCAAGGTCAGGACTGTCGGGTCAGGGGGTCTGGTGCCTCATTAGAGGGATGGGCACTGAGGATTTCTTGTTTGTTGAGGTGTAGTTTGTGCTGGTGCCTGATTAAGCTAAGGTAAGTGCAGCCCCATCACAGCACCAGGCAGCACTAAGACCGGCTCCAGTGTTCACGTTGCTCATTCCCTGTTGTTTAAATTGCATGACTTCACTGAATCCTATCATGGAAATCATATAGAAATAGCAGCCCTCTCAGTCTAGTCAAAACCTGCACCACCATCCTGCCTTTTTTCCCCAAAGGAACAGCACATACAACAGGGAATGAAGCGAAACACTCCGGTCCTTCTCCCCCCACTAACAAAGCCCCGGGGTACCCTTGTTCAGCTGTGCTGCAAATGCAGCTGTACCCCTGGCTGGGTGGCTGCAATGGGCAGAACAGGTATTGATGGGCTCTCTCACCCCATGCTCCTGCAGATCTTCAGCCAGGCTGACACGTCCCTCAAGCGCTGGATCCTGGAATTTGCTGCCAGACGGAAAAAGGCGGAAGTTCGAAACGGCATCATCAGGAATGACAGTTTGTGGGATAAACTTTTCTTTAATAAAATACAGGTAAGTGATTAAAGAAGTGAGTCTGAAGTCAAAGAACTGTTGTTTCTTCTAGCAGTGACTGGTTTTCTGCCAGGGAACATTAAGATATTAGGAAAAATTTCCTCACAGGAAGGGTTTTCAAGCATTGAACGCTGCCCAGGGCAGTGGTGGAGTCACCATCCCTGAAAGTGTTCAGAAAATGTGTGGATGTGGCACTTGAGGACATGGTTTAGTAGTGATGGTGCTGGGTTGACAGTTGGACTTAATGATCTCAGAGGTCTTTTCCAACCTTAGCAATTCTATGATTCTGTGATTCCCTGAAGTCAGTGTGGTCCATGTGCCTGGTGATGAACTTTGGGCAATTGCTACTCACCAGCAAAGAGCAGACTGGAAAATTGAACAGAAGAAGGAAACAGAACACAGTTTGTTGTTCCATGAAGTTTCCCCACGTGTTTTTATTTATGTTTTCGTTTTTAAACACCATGCACCATGTCAATATTTCAGTTCTCTTAGGGATAGCTTTCCAGAGGGGAATGGAGAAACATAAGGCAGACCAAGATGGCTTTTGCCACATCCCTCTTTAGCAGCACCAGGAAATCACTTATTTATGGAATAGTGCCAAAATCTTTTGCAGCTCTCAGATCCAAGCTGTGCCCCTGCTCAGGCTCCACGGAGGGATGTGATGCTGTGTGGAGGCACTTCCCTCTGCCAGGTGAAGTTGCCCAGAAGAAGGATCACAGCTTCTGACACCAGGGCAGCTGTCACCCCCTTTGTTGCTCAGGTGCTCTGCCTTGGGGGCACAGGTCACCCACCCCAGGCTCTGCCCATGCCTGTGGTGAATGGTTTCTCCCCAGTGACAGGCAGGGAGAGGATTATGTCAAATCTATTCCAGGAATGAAATTCAGGAAGGTCATAAAGATCAGAGATGTTGCTCCAAAGTTTCCTGCAAATTCTCTACAGATAGGATTAGATTTAGGGTTGTGTTTCAGTTGGGCATATTCAAATCTGGGGTTTTTTCCTAGGAAAACAAGAATAAGGGTGTAAAGCAAAACGCACACAAGAGTCATAGTTTAGCAAGAGAGGAAAGAAATCAGAATGCCCTGCTGTGTGCCACACGTCTCAGTTAAAAAAAAAAAAAGTTAAATTGCCTTTAAACCAGGTCTTTTGGGCTCTGTACTACTCCAGGAGGCTCTGATTGCTTCATTTTTTAATTGGATAACTTATATGGAGACATGCCACTTTATTTTTAACTAAAGAAACTGCCTGTACTTGTGGTCTGTGGATTAGTTGTCCTCAGTGTGCAAAGATAGCAGAGTTCACCCAGCCAGGAGCAAGCCAGGCTGCATATTGATGCAGGGGCTGGCGAGACGGGCAGGCTCAGTCAGCAGTTGTTTGCTTTTGTGCTGGGTTTTCTTTTTCACTTTTAGAATAAGGAAAAGGAAATGAAGGGGGAGGAGAAAGAAGTAAAATGGGACACAGGAATTGATGTAATACCCTCCAGAAATATTTGAAGGTCATCTGCCTTAAAAAAGGGACAGCATTATTTGAGAGGCAATTCATTAAAACCAGTGAGGTGTAAATAAGCAAAGAAAACTGGATGGGGGAAGAGTCTGCTTTTTCCCAGCAGTTCCCAGAGCCAGGTCTGCAGCCTGCCCAGGCACAGCAGCCACAGGAGCTGAGGCTGTGCAGCTTGTCCTGCCAGGGATGTGGGGACTCCTTCCTCTGCACACTGAATGGGGGTTTATCCCTGAGGAAAGCTTCAGAGCCAGTCTGTATTTCCACATCACAGAATCACAGAATCACACAATCACAGAACGGTTTGGTTGGAAGAGACCTCGAAGATCATCTCGTTCCAACCCCTGCCATGGGCAGGGAACCTTCCACGTCTGTCCTAGAGAGGGCACTTTGTGCAAGCTCTGTGTAAGCAGTGCTCACCTTGCTGCTGGTTTTGCCATCTGTAGGAGCTTCTGATGCTTTTCTTTTGCTCCCAAACAGGCGAGTCTGGGGGGCTGTGTCCGTATGATAGTGACAGGAGCTGCCCCTGCCTCTCCCACTGTCCTGGGCTTCCTCCGCGCCGCCCTCGGATGCCAGGTGGGCTCGTGGGGCTCCTCGGGGCCGTTCATCCACTGCTAGTGAGAAAACATGGGATTTGAGAGAGGAGAGGGGTTAGACCCCCAGAACTGCATTTAGGGCAGCTGTGCCAGGATGGATCCAACAGCTGCAGCAGGGCTGGGGTGGCCACAGAGCCCTCGGGGGGGCTGAGGTGGGAGCAGCAGGGAAGAGCTGCCTTCACTGTGGGCACCTCCCAGAGAAACCCCAGAGGCTCATCCCACCTGCCTCTGAGTGCTGAACTGAGTGTGGGCAATTAAATGCGTCTGTGCTGGGAACATCATTACACGAGTTTTATTCTCTATATAAATGGAGATAGATAATCTTCAGACATCAGCCTAACCCACTTAAGGTGTCCACTGCATTATTTCTCTGTGATTAGGAAGCCCGGGGCAACTGAAAGGTCTCATTCAAGAGGCTAAAGTTAGGCAGGAAAAAAAATATTTTCAAAATGTCCCACAAAAATATCTTTTTTCCCCGCTAATAAATTCCTCTTATAGAGCAGCACATTTCTTCACTCAAAGGCTGAGTGTTTACCTTGTCTTCTCAGTATTTTCAGCTCTACAGAGCCATGGTCATTTCCAGTCATGGAAATGCAATGTTGTACCCAGCAGGAGCCAGGGACAGTGTCCCTGTGGGAGATGTGCACCCGTGCATTGCAGCTGCAGGATCAGCTCCCGGGGCTGTGCCACAAGGCAGTGCTTGGGAGTTCAGCCCGTAATTGAGAAATTTTCTGTGCTCTTTTAAAGACACCCATCTCTTTGTCAGGTTTATGAAGGTTATGGCCAAACAGAGTGCACAGCTGGATGCACCTTTACAACTCCAGGTGACTGGACATCAGGTAATGATTTTCTTCCACCATTTGCAGAAATAAAAGAAATGCACATTTCTTTAGAAAATTCTGGACATCAAGGCCAGGTTGGACAGGGCTTGGAGAGACCTGGGCTAGGGGAAGGTGTTCCTGCCCATTACAGGGAGGCTGGAACAAGATGAGTTTTAAGATCCTTTCTAACCCAAACCATTCTGTGCTATTTGAAAATAGGTTCTACATCTGAAGAGGAGGTTTGGGTATTTAGTCTTAATAGTGCAAAACCTTAATTGAGGAAATTATTTCTGCACACAGACACAGCTCCTGCAAGAACACCCAGTATATCTACAACTATCCAACTGACTAATAATAAAATGCTAATTATTGTTTATAGGAGAGATGACAAATGACTTCATAACTTTGATTTCCAGGTCATGTAGGAGCCCCTTTGCCCTGTAACTTAATCAGATTGAAGGATGTGGAAGAACTGAATTATTTTGCTTCCAAAGGAGAAGGAGAGGTAGCAAATCACATTTTTATATCAAATTCTCATTAGTTAACACTGTATGAAGTAGTTATGTAGTTATAGAAGCATTTGACCTTTGTAAGGTGCATGGTTGCTGATGTGTTACATATTGCAATCAGGAAAGGAAAAAGGCAATTTAGCAACAGAGCAGCAAAGCATTAATTAAAAAGGAGCTGTGGCAGTACTTCCAGCCTGATTCCTTGAACATTTAAGACTGAATTAATTAGTTCAGCTAAATAGAGCTGAATTGCTATGGTTTCTACATTGCTGTTATTTCTATACTGCACAAAAATTCAACTTATTGAAATAACCTTGTTATTTTTAACTGCAAATCGAATGCAAATCAACTTCAAGCAAATCAGTTTTGTAAACTCTAGTTCATATTTCCATTAGCTTGGAAAAAAATCCATAGGTATTTTTATAACCCAACCTATTTTAATTTCATGGAGCACAGCGATTAAAATATTTCAATTCTTGAGAGTTACTGCTTAATTTGTATTTATAGCAGAGTAAGAAATTAATTTATCATCACCCCTGGCTCTTTTTCAGATCTGTGTGAAAGGACCCAATGTGTTCAAAGGTTACTTGAAAGATGAAGAGAAGACAACGGAGGCGCTGGACCAGGAGGGCTGGCTGCACACGGGAGACATTGGGAAATGGTTACCTGTGCGTACTGCTCACACACTCAGTTCTCATGGCCACTGTATTATCCCATGTAAATTTTCAAGGACTGAACTTAAATTTCCAAGCAGATTTATCTTTGCAGAGGATTAAGTTTATATTTGGCCGGGTAAGCTTGATGTGTCAGTGGAGCGTTTGAAAGCGCAACAGGCAGTGGAAAGCTCTGTTAAAGCCAGGCTGCTTGCTGGGTCTCGATGGTTAAATAACTTCTCTGGGAATTCTCATTTCTTTCTCCTGACAGAACGGGACTCTTAAAATTATTGACCGGAAAAAGCATATATTTAAACTTGCTCAGGGAGAATATATTGCACCGGAGAAGATAGAGAATATCTACATCCGCAGCGACCCTGTTGCCCAGATCTATGTCCATGGAGACAGCCTGCAGGTAAGAAACAAGTTTTCAGAAGATCTTACTTTTCTCTTTGTAGGCAGAAGACAGGGAGCTGGGCATGAACGAGGGGAAAGTGGGAGTGGATCACACCACAGTGTCTCCATCCTGCTCTGGAGCTGGCTACCAGCCAGGCAGGAGCTGTGCTGCTGGTGTGACCCTGAGCAGCTTGGAGCAGGCTGTGGCCAAAGATCAAGCCTTTAAATTGGCTTTGGTGCCATCCTTTGGGTCTCTAATGCTGTCCTTTGCCACTGTGCCTGCGGCATGCTGGGCCAAGGCAAAGCCACTGCTGCCTTCCCACCACTGCCTGCTCATTCTGACCAACCCTGTCCCGTTTATTTGCACATTTATACACACACGAACAGCTTCTGAAACCATGCAATTCATCCTCTGCATTCACTGCCCACAAACATGAGCTTTCCCTTGGCATCAGAGTTTGCCTGGGACTTGCAGGGCTGTGAACTGCAGGTGTATAAATGACAGGGGCTATGTTCTGCTCTGGTATTAATGTCCAAGCACAACACAAACCCAACTGAGGGTGTTAAAATTGTTGCCAAATGCAGAAACAGTGACAGAGAACCCTTTTATCTGAGAAAAAGGCACAGACATTAAAATATGCTCCACTGTGGCACGTTAGCAAATTATTGACATAATTAAACATGAAGTGATAAACACACAGAAATTCACTGGACTCGTGTATTCACTTGAATGTGGTTCAGCTTTTGCCTGCAACTCTCCTTCTCCTTCCCCTGCAGGCCTTCCTGGTGGGAATTGTGGTGCCCGATTCTGAAGTTATGCCAGGCTGGGCAAAGAAAAGAGGGTTTGATGGAACATATGCAGAACTCTGTAAAAATAAGGTTTGTATCTGCAGGGCAGATGTTTTTTCGCTGCAGCATTATGTGTGCACAATACTGTGTCTGAATAAGACCTGTCATGAGTCTTCTCTGTGACCAGTGACAGGACCTGAGGGAGCAGCATGAAGCTGTGTCAGGGGAGGTTTAGGTTGGATGTTGGGTAAAGGGTCTTCAGCCAGGGGGTGGTTGGGCACTGAACAGGCTCCCCAGGACGTGGTCACAGCACCAAGGCTGACAGAGCTCAAGAAGTGTTGCTTGGACAGTGCTCTCAGGCACATGGTGGGATTCTTGGGGCTGTCCTGTGCAGGGCTGGGAGTTGGACTCGATGGTCCCTGTGAGTCCCTTCCACCCCAGGACATTGTGTGATTCCATGATAAGGATCCCAGCCTTATTTACACGTGTTCTGTAATACTGAGTAACTGCATTGGATCACATCAGTGAACCCTGATACCACTGAACCATCCCACTGGTGTCTGGGGGCAGTGATTCTGCAGCACAGCTTGGCAGATGGCTGAAGCATTGTAAATTAAACAGCTATGTCACATAGCTGGTTTGACAATAGAACTTTACCTTTCATACCAAGGAGACAGATAATATCACCACACAAGTTATTTAATGTTTGTACTCTTCATTAATAGAATATTTGTTAGTTATGTATTAACTCTCAATAAAGCACTTGAACTTTATTCAGAAACATGTTTTTTGATGAATCATAGAATCAACAATGAATAAACAGTGAACAATAGGATGAAGAATGAGCAATAATTGCATGCAAGGTTGACTCTGATAATTCATGAGGAATTTCTGTGTTTTAACCCAGGAACTGAAGCAAGCAATAATGGAAGACATGGTACGGTTGGGGAAGGAGAGTGGGCTCCACTCCTTTGAGCAGGTAAAATGAAACAATTAATACATCATTCAGTGGGGTCAGACAGGCAATTTTGTTTGTATGGAAGAGGAATTTGTCAGCATTTATTATGTTCCTACAAATCCTTGTTGCAGCTGCACATGATGTTTTTGGAAAGAGCTTTATTGCTGGCAAGTTACATTTGTTCCTTTGAAAAAATGTATATGCTGTGATTCTGCCTCCCAGTCGTGCTTGAAGTTTGAATTAAAGTTTTGAATGAAAGTTTTGGGTGCAGAGGTCAAAATCTAAATCAGGCACATGGATAATCTCCAGACTGACAACCAGAGGTCAAGATAAACATCTGCAGGAGTCTGACTCTTCTGCCACTGAAAGCTCCGTTAGAAACTGGGTCACTAATTACCGGTCTTATACCCGACCTCAGAATGCTTCTGGTTTCTTTATTTTCAGTCTGGGCACTAATTCTTTCCGGGTGCTTCTGTAAATACTTCTGCAACAGAGCTACAAACACCTCAGGAGAGATCTGAAATCAGCCGTGGATTATACAGCATTAAAACCACAGCAAAATTATCCACCCCATTTTAAAACGTCAAAGGCTTATTTCTGTTAAAATAATGAACGTCTTAATTGTTACATATAATTAGCAAGGGCCCTTTTTCTTTTGTTTGCACTGTTTCTGGGTGATAATTCTAATGAGTAATTCACCACATTGGAGTGGAGCAGAAGCATCGTTAAACATAACCCTGTTATTCTTCATTTCTCAGTTACCTATGTGAATGAAATGATAGCCAAAAGAAATTAATTTAAAAAAATTCGATATAAAGCACAGTTTATAATGCTCATAATTGTCTGTGCTAGTATGTCCTGTTTGCCTTTGCCATGGTTTTCACAGTATGAAATATTCTCAAGTAATCAATTCTACCAGCAGTTTGTGATTAATAAAGTATGAAGTAGTAGGAAAGCCTTGCCATCTTTCTAAAAACTAGAATAAAATAATAATAGATTAGAATAAAAAAATACACGTTTTAATTGTCAAAACTAAACAGCTTCAAAACTTCATCTCTCTTGCAATATGTAATCTTAAAATCAAACTTTAAGCCAGATATTGTAGCTGATGTTCCTGTGGAATGGGATCCCCTGCTTGTGTGGGATACTCTTTATCATCCCGGTCCTCATCTGCACTTGGATCTCTGTCTTGGAAATTTCAACTCTGGCTTTTAAAACCATCAGCTTCCAGGCTCTGAAAGCTGGTGCAGCAAGTGGGGGAAGCATTAATAGCATGAATTCTGATTTCATGAAGGATGTCACGGGGGGAGGAATGGGAACAGAAAATGGATTTGCAGCCTATATTCCTGCAACTCCCAGCCGAGCAAACTGCAAAGCAGTCTGTCTTGGGGAATCACAAAAGCAGCAGATGGCTGGGGAATTTTGTCTTAAATCAGTGGACTCTGACCAGTCAGGCAGCAGTTGCCTGCTTTCTCCCACACCAGCAGGGGAAGGAGAAGCTCGCTCCCATCTGTGCTGCCAGGCTCCCCGCTGTGCTGGGAGCCAGCCCCTCCAACAAGGGCAGCCTTGTGAAACGCTGTTTGCACAGGCTGGGGGATTTTATATCGCTGTAATTAGCTCAAATCCTCTTCAAACATCATCATCATCATCATGCACACACTTTGTGCCTGCAAAGCTTCGTGATAATTTTGTGAGACTGAATCAGTGCTGCTTACTTGTGCAGCGGGTTAAGGTGGTGTTCCCTGGCACAGCTCCCTGTCCTTGCCCGCTCCCCCATCGCCCTTGGGCTGTGTGACCCTGCAGGGACGACACCCCATATGGTGACACTGTCCCTCCTGTGCTGCCTCGCTGTGCTCTGGCCTTGGTTTCCTACAGAAAAGAGGTTTATGTGCTCATTTTCTTGGAGAGCTCCCTTCTGTGGGCAGGGGAGGGAAACCCTGGGGAAGAGTGCCCTGGACTCCAGGCACCGCCGGAGGGAAGCACAGCATACAAAGTTACACTTATCCAGTGTGGTGCCTGTAACCTTCACTATAAATATGTCCCTTTTTTATTTTAGGTCAAAGCCATTTACATTCACTCTGATATGTTCTCGGTACAGAACGGTTTGTTGACACCAACATTAAAGGCCAAGAGACCAGAACTAAGAGATTACTTCAAAAAGCAAATAGAAGAGCTATATTCAAGCATCTCCATCTGAAATCACAGGAAGAAGAATCTCCTGAGTAATGGACTTCATAGCAATATTAGAATAATACTCAAAAAGTACAGAGCCAGAATGACACTGCTGAAATGGATAAGCACCTGAATCTTATATTTGAGCCTTTCATTGTTCTAGGATTTCGCCACTAACCACATTTTTCCTTCTTTTTTCCATCAGGTGTGATACGATTTCTTTTTTACTCTATGCACAGGGTACTACTAAGAATTATGCTAAATTGCCACAAAATATACAGACATTTCAATCTATGACTAAATTATGGAAACTTATTAATAACTACAAACATTTCTAATTAAAATAGGGAAAATTTCAGGTGTGTCTGTTAATATTTGATTGTATATAACCTAATACATTAAAAACTAAAATTATGGATAATTCAATAATGTGGTCTACCTCAAACAATCAGTGATCGATGGTGAAAGTCTATTTTCTCTGATTTGGAACTTCAAGATGGATATTGGTTTATATATGAAGTGATAGTTTTTATATTTTCCAGGACATAAATGACATTGATTTGATTTAATCATTAATGACCTAACTAATGACCAGAATAGAAATAGGAAGGAATCTCCTGCTATTTGTACTTAATAGACCTATTAGTATATTACATCTAACGGATAAATGTTACCTTGAACTTGCAAGAACAGGGTAGGCAGCGATAGGATAGAGTTCCCTCTATTTCCTTTTCATCCCAAGGCAGTTTATCCATGGCATGCTGATTCTGCACTCGGGCTCCTCCAGCCCAGTGCACTCACGGACATCTGAACTGCTCAAACTGAGAAGGTTGCAAAAGCATTGCTGGCTCTGAGGCAGCTTTCGGTGGGAGTTCACGATAATCCACACGCTCCCAGTCCCCAATTTGTTACTTTACATGCTGCTAGTCCTCCGTAGTCCAGCTGGACTAACTCCCTCTCGGAAACAGCGCTGAAGAAACGGAGCCCAGGGAATAAGCTGTGATTCTGGATGGGGCTTAGCACAATGAGTGGGTTTGGGAAGAGGCCAGCCTGAGGCGCAGCAGTGGAGGGCATCCTTTGTCTGGCCACGGAAGGGGAAGGAATACTGCTCCCAAAGGGCCATGGGGATGGTGAAAGGCTGTGTTAGCCATCCCTGTGCCAGGTGTCACGGGACGGCAGAACACTGGATGTGGTGGCAGAAAGGCCTGCTGAGAAAACATCTCCATGTCCGGACGTCTGGAAGCATCAAGTCCCCCTGGCATCACTTCCAGTGGCCTCTCTGGAATAAGCAGCAAGTTGTCTGGATGAAACCTTAGATTTCTGTGGTCATCAGAAAGCAGAAAAGTCTCACAAGGAACAGGAACAGACTCTAGAGCTCTTTCCTGATACAAAGCACGGTACAAAACAGTGAGAAAACTGTCATGTCAAGTCGCTTGAATACGTGGGCTGTCGATGGCTTCTTTCTGCTAAACAGGATCCTAAATATCTGTGTGTATTGTACTAGCTGCTGTTTGCTGCACCAGTGCATACTAGCATGGAGCTGTGCCTGCTAGATCTCTACTAGGACAGTGAAAGCACACTTATTTTTTTCTCTTAAACTGGAATCCGCTGTAGACTTTTGAAGCTAAAGGTTAAAATTTTTAGTCTAAACGGTCTCTTATTTTCCCTCTGAAATTCCGTTGCATGCTTCCAAATGAAATAAATCGAATTAATGGGTTAGTGTTACACCAAGACTGATTTATTGAAGTGATTTCAGAATAAAATGATACAAAGGAAACCGCAGCAGTAACGTAATGACTCATAAAGAACGTGGCAATTTGATTTATCAGATGTGCAAGTGTTTGAATCCCTTTTTGCGCCCGATTCCTCATTTGATTCCAGCGCAATGACTCATATCAGTCCAAAGCAACTACGAAATATCTGGGATCTGCTGGGATCACACATTCATTTTTCACCAACATACGCAGCAACAGCATCCCTGGGGAATTGTGTGCACCACGTCAGCAGAGCACAGGAATTACTGTGTCAAATTTGGCTCTTTAGGTCAAGTCAGAAAGGATTCTTATCTCGGCGGAGTCTAGTTCATCTCCTTTTTGTATCAGCCAAAAGACAGTCATTACATACACAAAGCTCCAAAGCAATGGAGAATTAGATTCAGTACAATTTCCTGTCTGTTTTAATGCAACAGGGTTTTAAAATAAAAAACCCCAAAGCCTAGTCATCCCTAGAAGTAGAGAAAAGCTACTTTTTCACTGACCTTTTTCTACCGTTCAATTTACTTTTTTCCTAAGGTGATTACAGGCTTTTCAGGACAACTAAACTCTGTGTAAGTATAAAAGATCCCACTATAAGTTTATTTACAGCTTAGGTGGCTGTTATTTTTACATATATAATGCTTTTGGTATTTGATGCAAAATGTCAGATGCACAAGAGCCAAAGAGATGAACACTGAAAGAATAAGAAATAAAAATACAGACTTGGCCACATTAGAATGATGCAAAATCTGGGAGAAATTGTGTTGTCACACCAAAAGTGTGAATACTTTCAGAACTTGTGAAAAGTTATATAAATAAACTAAAAGCTCTCTTTTATACTTTCTTGTGTAATCAGATTTTCCTCGGCAGGTCGCTCTCTCTCGCCATAATCATAACAGTGCTATAAGAGATTAACACTTGAAAAGTGTAAGGCATGAGCTCAGCACAATCTTGCTTCTTCTCAAATTCCAGGAATATTTATTTTGCATCGAGCTTTCTTAAACTGAAACACTTCTTGTGACCACCAAGGAAAAATAATCCCCAGGGCTGTCCAATAACCAGTTGTTTGGTTTTTTGGGGTTTTTTTCCCCTCAAGATAACTAATTACAAAATTAGTTTCTACTGTTCATCTTATTTAAAGAGCAGAGACTCTTTTTGCAGAGTACTGCGTTCTCGGACATGTTAAACGTTGGGAGGTTCTTCCTGAGCCTGGTGCTATGCCTCTGGAATCACTGGAAGACTCTCATATTTAAAAACCAGAAAAAAAATACATTTTCCAGGAAGAGAATCTTGCTTAGTTATGTATTTTGTATGTTCTTTGCTCAATGTGTTGCACAGAGAAAATACCATTCTGCCAAGACGCACCAAGTGTGAGCAGAAACCAGACCAGAGTCTTAACCCCACGTGGGCAGGAAACACATGGAATAATCTGTCCCGAAAGGCACATTTGCAGTTTAAAATGCTTGACGCACATCAGGTGAGAGAGAGACGGTGAGTTTTTGTTGATAAAGTACTATTTTGCAATCTGTCCTCACTGTTAGTCAGCATCTGTCAGCATCAGTAAAGTCCAGTCTCGTTTTTGCCATGAATATGAAATTTCTCATGTATAACAAAATAATCTGACTCGATCTTCTGGAATTAAAAAATTAACTTAGATTTTTTTTTTTAATTTTATGTGTGTTAAAAGCACAAACTGCTGATCTATATGTAAATAAATGCTACAAGATGAATGTAAACTGGGAAAGAATATACTATTTTTGCATGGTAGTAGGTTACTTAAAGACCTCTTGATGCCTTACAGAGAATTTGGAAAAGCATTTTATTTAGAGGCAATTCTATTGGCATACTTTTTGTATTTTAGCTCACTTTGGTTTTCTCTGGGGGAAAAAAAAAATCAAAATTGGATCTTTGTTTCTTCTAGGAATTAACATTCTTCAGTATTTTGCATATGTGGTGGTTTCTACATCACCCTTTCTCCTGTGAAATGGGGAGGCTTTTCAGAGAAGAGATCTAGATGCTTGTAGTCTGGGAGGGAAAAAGGTTTAGATCCCTGGAATTGCTCCAAAATGAAATGTTTTCTGAGGCATCTGGAGCCCCTTTAAGCCCTTCATTTCAGCTTTTTGTTATGTATTTTAGCAAAGTAAAAGCAGTGAACAAATGAGGTATTTTGGTGAGTGTTGCTTATTCTATTTTCAACTGAAAGTGAAGGGGGTTAAAATATAACGTATACATTTGTGTAAAAAAAATCTTAACTGTAATTAAAGATTTTTCAGTTTTGGTATATTAGCATGTATATCAAAGAATCATCTATGGAAACTTTTGTAAAGAACTAACTTTTCACCTTTCTCAAAAGTGCTCATGAGATTTTCTTGTGGACTGACATACAATAAAAGCTCTTTTTTAAAAGCTGTTGCTCCTCCAGTGACACTCTGTCCTCACCATGGTTACGAAGTTGTTCAGAACGCGTGCCTGGACTAAACGTGTTGTAAGAATGAGAAATTATGTAAAATAAAATAATGACCAAAGGACTATTGGAACATGAGATTGATTGTAGCAATCTCCTATGAGAAAAAGAATTGTTGCAAAGCTCTCTGAAGATGCAGAAGTCTTTCTGTAATGGCTTCTTTTTTTTTTTTTTTTTAAATTTTGAATCAGTAATAACATAGCCAAATGTATATGCTTGTTTAATATGAATTGACAATTGGGAATGCATAGTATTTTTTCAGACTATGTGTCTAAACCAATAAAGTTTCAAAACATTTGGGCTCTATTCCGGTTTTTACGTGCACTTGCATCTCTTTTCGCTTGGAAATCCAGGGATGCCTGGAAGTGTCCAAGGCCGGGTTGGACGGGGCTTGGAGGCCCCTGGGACAGTGGAAGGTTTGGAAGGGGGTGGAACTGGATGGGCTTTACGGTCCCTTCCAAGCCAAACCGTTCTATGGTTCTGTGAGTTTGCTTCATTACATGAAACATTTGAGCTACGAGATCCCTCACAGCTGGAACACGGGGCTGGTCAGTGAAAGGGGTATCACACACATGATTTATTTACTCCGTTTTCATACAGGGTTTCCTTTACTCAGAGGGTGGCGAGGCCCTGGCACAGGTTGCCCAGAGCAGCTGTGGCTGCCCCATCCCTGGCAGTGTCCCGGGCCAGGCCGGACGGGCTCGGATCATCCTGGCAGGGTCAGAAGGGTCCCAGGCCAGGCTGGACGGGCTTTGACCAGCCCGGCACGGCCGGAGCGGTCCCTGCCAGGACCTGCCGGGTCCGGGCCCTCAGGGCGGGCCGGGGCGGCCGCCCCGCGCATGCGGGCGGGGGGCGCGGGGCGGTGTCGGCTGAGGGGCCGCGGGGCAGGGCGGGTTCGCTCGGGGCCAGAGCCGGTGTTCCGGGGCCAGCTCCGCTTCTCCCGGCCGGTCATGGAGCGGCAGCGCATCCCCCGCGCCCCCCGCGCCGGGAAGGCGCCGCGGAAGAGGCGCCGCGAGTCCCCGCTGCCGGGGGCGGCCGCGCTGCCGGGCCGGCGGGCCGGGCCGCCCCAGCCGTGCCGCCGGAGCCTGTTCGGCAGAGCGGGGCCGCGCGGGCCCGAGCCCGCCTGTGAGCGCTGCCCCGCGGGGCCGGGGTCGGGGCCGGGGCTGGGATCGGGGGGGCGGGCAGGGCCCTGCGCTGTGCCCGGTGCCGCGTTCCCGCGGGGTCCCTCGGGGCGGTGCGGGCCGGGTGTGTATCGGCGGCGGGTCCTCGCACGCGGGTGCTGCGTGAGGCTGGGAAGGGGTTTCTTCTTGTCCGTGTCCCTCACGGCTTGGGGAAAGCAGGCAGCTGTTCTGGGAGCAGGAGGGGTGTTTCCTCTGGTCTGGCTGCTAGTTAGTCATAAAGCCACTTCTGTAAAGTGGCTCCCCGCCGTCTGATCGTAGAACGTCTGGAGCTGGAAGGGGCCCTGTAGAAAGGTCCAGACAAAAGCCTTGCTCTTTGGGGGTATACTTCCAAAACTGCTCAGAGTTGTTGCTCAGGAGCTGCCTCGTTGAATGCAGTGTAGCAGCTACCAAGTTAAGAACTGCAGACCTTTAAGAAACAAAATGCAGTCTGAGGGGAAGGGATGGGATTCAAGGCTAAAGTAAATGAGGAAGACTAGCATGGGATGTCTTGATCCCATGCTGGGCTTGGTAATTTAAAGGTGAGGCTTTCCTGTTATAACATTTGTTTGTGACAATAGGGTCAAAAAGGTATTATGGGGATGGAAGGGGGAAATAGCTAAAGGTGCCCTATTAGAAATAATAATCTAAATTCTAATATTGAAATGATCATTACTGAACTAAATACTTATTTTTCTCTAGGCCCAAAAAAAAAGTTGAGTGGGAAAACCCTACCAAAAATTACAGAAAATCTTGAACTCATTGAGGAGAGCGCTTCATGCAACCAAAGGTCTGTTAGAACTCATTCAAACACACCATTATTAACATTAGCTAAGCATTTTTATTGTTTTGCCTTGTGAGGTGGCTCTTGGAGCTATGCAGTCTGAATTATCAGTGCACTGATGTTTGTCAGACTATTTATTGGTGTTCCATAAAGACATTTTGTAGCTGTTGCCTTTCTCTAAAACGGTATAGCTCTGTGGTTGAACTTAGTTCTGTTCTTCAACTGCAGCAATCAAGTGAATGTCAGAGAAACAAGAGACTTGGAAAAAGAAGAAGAGGAATCAGAAGAAAGCAGTGTATCACTGAAGGTGAGAATGGTGTCTTGCTTTTTATCTACTCGTAATTGTCTGGAGGATAAACCAAAGAAATGTGACATGCTAAATTGTTTTTATAATCAGGTAAAATTTCCTGTGAGTTATGTGTGTGTGCACACGCATTTTTCAGGCTGAACTTAGAATCTACTGCCTGCATGTCATAGTTTGTATTTAGAGAAATGGTTTAGGATTCTGAAAGTAAGAATTGGGCCTCTAAAAAAACAGTTCAAAAGACAGTGAAGTTGATGTCAGT